ATACAAGTCTTCCTTCCTAGATTCATTCATACAACACTTAATCTAGTGTTTATACACCTTTTCATCCATGGATTCTTGCTTTTTCTTAGATCTTCAAGTGTTCTTCAAGAACACCAAGAACACACACTATTGTTCTTGAGTCCTAAACACTCCTGCAAGCTTCTTATAAGTAAGTATAGTCTCCTTAACTAGTTATTAGCTTAGTTTGCTTGCAAATCCATGGATTGAACACCAAAAACCCCCCAAGAACATGTGTTTACGGTTGGGGATCTCCCAAAACCGTAAACAACCCAAAAGGGGTGTTTTGATTCCCCTAACACCCCTAATACTTAGACAAGAGGTTAGAAACCTTGCATGCATGAACTAGAAACACCAAAACATGAAATGGTTGGAGTGACCATGAGTTTACGGCCGTAAACTCATGGTTTTAAGGCCATAAACTCTCAAAGGTGGTCTAAGGACCGTAAACTCTATAAAGTGTGCCATTTCGAGCCCTAACCACTTCCTAAGCCTTTGATTTAACCCTAGGACCTTCCTTTGTGAAGCATAAGACCTTGAAGCACCAAACACACCCTTCCCATGAGTTTACAGCTGTAAAATCATGGGGGAAGTGGTACAAAAACCGTAAACACCCCTTAAGACTTCCATTTGAGGAGTAAACTCTAATGTGAGGCCATACACTCCTTAGATGCAACCCGTAGCACTCCTAGCACTTGAAGCAAAGTGTTTTCGTACATTAGATTTACTTACTAAATTAGTGATTAAATAACTAATTGGATACAATTATGTATCACTATATATGTTACATAGGATCCGGGTGTGAGTTCAAGTCCTCACTTGACACCTAGCATCCTACTTGGCACTTCGATCAATCCGCTCACTACAGGTGAGTTCATACCCCTAAATGAACCTTTCTAAATGATTTTATATGCTTTTATGGGGAGGGGGAATACAAGTTGAATAAAACAAGTTATAGTACTAATATTATGTGATTTATAAATTGTTACCAAAAGGATTTTCTATACTTTCAAACTGCCTTGCCAACAAAATTGTTTTAAATGTTTATCAAACTCACTTTCATGTTTAATTGTTCAAAACCTATTTCCAATGCTTTCAAACTTATTTTATTTCCAAATCATATCTACACCAATATATTTATATAAGTAAGGATTGAAGGACTTAGAACTGATAACTCACCTTATTTCCTATTCTTCTTAGATTGTGGACTTAGGGTATTCGGTTATCTGTCCAGCTGTCATTGAATTCTTAGTTATATATCATATATATTGTGTTGGATACAAAGGTCTTCACTTCAGTTCAACACCTTTGTGTATCAAAGGCATTCAACTAACATCTCTATTTAACTATAATAGGTATAGTTAAGGATTACCACTCATTACTATTGTTACTATGATGCTCACTATAGTTAGTACAGTTACGAGACTATACATGCTAACTACTATACGAAGAGAGCCCTATATACTATACGAAGAGAATACTATATACTATACAAGAGAACAAACACTCAATACATTATACTAAGAAGTACATTATACTCTAAATACGAGACAATATACTAAAATAGAATGTGATACACTACTTCTCGATACGACACTCCAATATGCGATCACCTTGTAACCAGAGCCTCCTGGAGGGAGAACGAACACTATGTGTATAGATCTGTACGGGACGGACACTCCCACATCCCGACTGCTAGCTACAGTTTGAGCCGACTAGGCTCAAGGGTGACAAAACATCACTACACTACATACGAGTTCACATCTAGACCTTAATTAACATACTAAGAATTAAAGGTAAAACAAACTCACTGAGGTGTGTTATGCATTTAATACCACTCGGAGTTGCATCTCTGCTGGATTGAAACTCTATTTTTCCCAATTATTTTATATGAATGAAAATTAAAACTATATTTTTACACTGATAATTTCACTGGGAAAACTTTTACGCTTTCAAATAATCAAACTTACAAATAACTGAGTCTTGGTAGAAGACTAGTTTTGCTGGAAAATATAGGATTTTCTAGGGATCACACTATTTTAAAATTTTGATAACAATTATTGTATTACTTGGTTTTAAACACTCTTATACAAGTAATGACACTAAATACTTATGAACTCGCCAGCTTTATGTTGATACTCGTTTTCAAAATAACTTTTATTCTCAGGTCATCAGTAGATAGGTACATATGCACCTTTTGAGAAGATGGAGCATATACGAGACGCATCTTTTATTTTGATTATACTTTTGGTGTCTATCAAACTATATAGAACATTCTTGTATTATAATTATTATACTAATGCAATGGATGTTGTTGCTTGTCTTTACTATTATGCATTGTTATGATACTGTACATGACGTCCTCTACCCCAAAACATATTCTTCCATTCTCAGTTTTGGGGTGTGAATGATTGGTGTCAGAGCATTGTTTATAGTGAATCAAGTATATCAACCCATAAAAGATATACGAACTACAAACACTTCGGGATTAAAACACTCTGACCAAGAATATATACTTTTAAGTAATAAAATATTTAACTAAGTATATATACATCCATTCATACAAAGGGTCAGTATCATACTAGAACAGAACAAAAGTATTAGGATTGTTGAACAACACAATTGGGCTCAGAGACATATACTCAAATCTAAGGGGTGATGTAGCCTGATCAACTACATATTCCTAGGAGTGACTAACATGTGCCTACGAGTGGTTGTGGTGTTGCAACAAGTCTAAAAACTTACTGACATTACTACAAGAACATTAGGACAAGAATACTATAGGATTATTCTGTGAGAACTAAAAAGGTCGTTACTAGTAGAGCAATAGTTGCTAAGTGGATACTCTACGGTTACATGTGACTAAGGCGTTATAGACTCAGAATCTGTGACCTTTTCTTTACTTTATTTTCCTTGTTTGGTTGTGGATTTAGAGTTGGGGCCACTTATTCGAAGGTCTATTTTGTTTCGATCACATGTAATTAGTATGCACTATGCAATTATTGGCCTAACTAATAACGATCCTCTTATAAGTTCTTAGGTTAGTACGCCTATTAACTATTCTTCCTATATTCTCGCGTAGATATCATGGCTGGATTTCATCATGGTGACCCGTACTTTCCAAACCATGGCAAGGTTGGATGGCTTAAAGAAGAACCCGATGAGTAACATCAAATCCCTTTGGATGACCACCAAGCAGAAGGCTTCTCGGATGGGTCTGACTCCGAACCCGAAGTCAACAACCTACCTCCTTTGGCTCCAGTCCCAAACCCTAACCCCCGCTAGGCCTTCCAAGGCCCGATGCCTGAATGGGTGGAATGCATAGAGACATGGAGCGAAGAACAAAATCAACCCATGCCATTCAATGGAAACCGAAGCTTTTATGACACGAGCGAAGGAGGATCAGTTGACAGAGTCTTGCCCATCTTGGTCCGAAGAGTTGCACGCAATGAAATCCAAGGCAGGACAGCCCTCCAGCGCATCGGAGAGGTTGATACAGATCGAGGACTACACTCCATTCGCACCAGTCGCCTGGAGCATGCTAAAAAGAGGTCTACAGCAGACCACGAGGCCTTGCTTCAAGCATTAGCCGAGACTCGGGCTGAAGTCATAGAGCTCCGGGTTCGTCAGAGAGTCTACGAACGACACCTCCTCGACCTGGAACACCAACTGGAATACCTTAGGGTTCGCCCGAGAAACATTCTCTGCCACCGTTAAAAGGATGTCTAGCACATCTTTTCTTTTGACTAAGGATTAGCCTATAGCATCTGCGCTTGAATGAAACACTTGTTTGTAGAATATTTCTATCTTTCAGTATGTTATGTGGTCTTCTAAAACTGTCAATCATTTTCCCTCATATGGTTTGATGTAAGGTCTACTGTTAGGCCGTTTTTCCGAAACTTATTTTGCATCAGTAATACCAATAGTCTTGATAGTTATCTAAGCTACTGCCGTTTGAGTATTCCGATGCCTATCACACTTAAGGAACAAGTATTAGAATGCAACTACTAAAGCCCCAACACCAAAAATTTTGCCATAACTCCATGAGATGGAGTTTACAGCCGTAAACATGGAGTTTACGGCCGTAAACTCACTTAGGCTGTGAACTCTCACCTATAAAGGTGAGTCTTGATCATTTCTAACTCTTTTTCACACTCCTAACCTCAAGAACACCAAGTTTTCTCTCAACTATCATCATACAATTCGTCAAAATTCATCAAAAACGTAAGTCTTCCTTCCTAGATTCATTCATACAACACTTAATCTAGTGTTTATACACCTTTTCATCCGTGGATTCTTGGTTTTTCTTAGATCTTCAAGTGTTCTTCAAGAACACCAAGAACACACTCTTGTGTTCTTGAGTCCCAAACACTCCTACAAGCCTCAAATTATGAGTTGAACACCCTAACTCATTATTTTTGGATCCTTATCCTTCAAATTCAAACCTGGCTAGTGTTCTTCAAGTTTTCTTAAACACCAAGAACACACACTGGTGGTTGCTCTGCAAAACTCAGTATTATCAAAGGCTATGTTCAATTTATTTTTTGTTCCTCTTTCTTGGTTATCTCAAGTCGGTTCAACTGCAACTTGTTAAAAAGCTTTGGAAGCTGTTACATTCAACCTAATCAATGATAAAAAGGTTAGATTATCAAAGAAGCTTTTCTACCAAATCCTTGCCATACCTAATTCACTACTATATGTTACTTTTACCTTTATGCAAATTGTACATATGTTCAATGAAATGGGTCATCAACCCCAATTGACAAAGATTAGTGACTTCAAGAAGTCAGGGCTACCAAGTGTATTGAATTTTCTATTTGGGATTTTTCTTCGGTGTTTAACTGGCAGAACGGTTGGGCTAGATTTGGGAAGAATGGAGGTGTACGCCATGGTTGCAGGGTTGTACTATGATCTTCAAGTAGATTACTCCACACAACTATGGAAGGAGTTTCACAAGAGTATCGAAAACACAAATGCTATTCATGGCATTTCGTGTGCTCGATATTGGAGTTTGATTCTGCAATATTTCTATGAAAAGGAAGGAATTTTAGTTCGAGCAGAAGAAGAAAAAGATGTGTTTCATACTTATGGGTGTCCAAAGGATGCTATAGATGACTCGGATGTATTCCCTTTTGCTGCTCGTATCCCTGATGCTATGTTGAAAAGGGTTGATTCTAAAAATCCTGTATTGATTACTTTTTTGAAATCAATAGATCTTCTGTGTAAACAGGTGTTCTTTTGCCACAAACCAATGAGAAGAAGTCAAATAAGTCGAAGAAAACTGATGCTGCGTCTTCGGGTACCAAGGTGAAGTCAACTAGTTCTTCTAAAAGTACGAAGCAGGTTCTTCTTATTGAAGCTGAGCCAATCCAATCGGATCCTATTATTGCGGATACCCAGTTAACTGAAAAGGAAGTTATTCCTTTGAAGGCTGGTGTATTTAGAAGAATCAAAATGAAATCAAAGTCGAAGCGTAAGGGACGATCCGCTCTTACGAATATTGTTCGCAAAGCTCAAGTTTCACATCAAGGGGTAATTTTTCGTGAAGTACATGCTCCTGCTTCACCGTCTTTGAAAAAGTGAATAGCTGCTGACTTGGCAAAATAAATCTCCAAGAAGAAGAATGGTAGGGTGATTCTTTCCTCAGAATCTACTGCAGATGAGGGTGAAACTATTCCTGAGACACCTGAGGCAGATTTGATTAACGATTCTTCTCAACTGGATACTTCTGTTAGTACACCACCTGAAGTTTCGATTGCTAAAACAGTTACTGTGGATGCATGAACTTCATACATCTCTATAAACATATCTGATATGGATAAAAATGTCATCATGGGTGAGGAAAATTCGAATAACGCAGCAAAAGGTAACCCTTCGAGTATTGTTTCAGATTCTTTCATTTCTTTACCTCCACAGATTACTCCCATTGTTCCTATAACATCCACAACTGATTCTCCAACCTTTGCAAACATTATTTCACAACCTTTCACAAATCTTTTTTCTTCACAATCAACTGATCCACCAACCACTACTTCTCCGATAAAAGATTCATTCATGGATACAGAAAATGACTCTGAAGGTTTTGGGGGAACCTTTGAGAATCTGGAGTTTGATGATGAGGAAACAGACTTCCCAGATCATATGCTAATTACGATGAAACAGTTTAAAATCTTGAATACGAAGCTCAACTCGATTATTCAATCTCAAGCTGATCTTGGGGGAGGTCATTCTGTATCAAGTCTTGAAGTTGATGGCATGTTTTCCTTACTTGAAGCAAGATTAACCACAAAAGTCTCTAGCATGTTGAAAGATTCAGAGTGTCATTTGTTGGAGAAGATTGATCATTGTGATCAAAATAATGAATTACGAGTGAATTCTCAGAAGTCTGGATTTGCATCTGACTTGAAAGAATTGAAGACGGTTGCAAAAGAGAGGCATGTGTTATTTGTTTAGGATGTAAAGAAGGTGAGAGAAGATTTAAACTTCAAACTTCAAGAACTACGCAAAGACATGGAGAAATAAATATCGGTTGTTCGAACTGAGTTTGATTCTATCAACAAAAAGGTGGATATTATTTGTGATGCAGTTACGAAATTTGCAAAGTTATACGAAAGTCTGAGCCCTCAGATTACTCAGCTTTAAACTAACGATAACAAGAATTTTTTGGAGGTATTCGAACTCTTGAAGGAGCTTAAAAGTCTATCTTCAAAGCCTACTTTGTCTTTTCTATCTTTGGAAGATTTGATCCAAAAATTTTCTAAATTTGAAGAATTGCTTGTCCAACACCTAGCTCCTTTGTCACGCATATCCAGTCTTCTTCCAACTACTTATGCCCCACCTGTTGTCACATGGGTGCAAGGGGGAGAAAAAATATCTGCAGGTTCGAAGACTGGAGGATAGGATTCGAAAGTAGTGGGGAAGTTATTTTCTTCGAAAATCCCAACAACAAAACCCATAATGGAAACAGCTGGTCAAATCACTTCGACAGTTGTAACAACTGTGCCAATCACGAAACCGAAAGGTATTGTGATTGGTAAAAGTGGAGACATTGGTGGAAGTGCTTCAAAGCCTAAAGATGATGTTGTTGAGTTTGGTTCAAAATAAAAAGATCTGATTGAAAAATCCAAAGAGGAAAAGAAAGCAGAGGCAGAGGATGAGGTTGAAAAATTGAGAATGATACAAAGTATTATGACTCAAAGAGCCAGTGACCCTCCAGGCTTGAATAAGGGTGATCCTTCGAAACATTATAATTATGAAACGATTGAAGACAACGTTGCATTCAATCACATGTATGCATTTAAGAAAAATCCCAAGCAAAGTTACCTTGTTACAAATACAGATGCAGGCCAACTGGATTTTCCTATAAATAAGATGATGTTTATCATGCCTGAATTTAAAGCTGAAAGCAAATTTAAGGAGAAGGATGAAGGAACTTACATGAAGATCAAATTTCATGCTGTTCTTGGAAAGAATGTTGAGGAGGTATGGTCTTTGACGAAGATCAAGAAAGTTATAAGTATAAAGAAGGACGTGGTCTTCGAAGACACAATCCAAAATTTGAAGTACGTGGTGGTAAGGGAAAATGGAAAAGTATGTGAATTTACAGTTGCAGACTTTCCATTGATGAACTTGTATGATCTTATACAAGTTGCATTAATTCTGAAGGAAATGTCATTTTCTTATCTACAAAACACTGAGTCGAATGTGTTTAAGCTGGGAGTTACTCACATCAGAATCTTCATTGAAAATTATTACGAATGTCTGGAAATGATAGATGTGGAGTTAGGTACAGCGAAGGGTCTTGAAATAACTGCTCTAATGAATCCTTCGAAGACACAAGCAGAACTTAAGAAATATGCTTGAAACATTTTGGTTTAGTCTTTTCTGGGAAGGACAAGTCTGGAAGGTCTAAGAAAATTTTTGTTTCAAGCAAGTGAAGTAGAAAGGTATTCAACTTCGCAATTTACGAACTTAATTGTTCGTATGAATCATTGCAAGAAGAATACTGTGGGAGACAAGAAGGAGCTGAAAAAAATAATCAACTGGTATACATAAACTCGAAGAGTTATGTTGTATTCAATTCAACTTCTTACAAATTGAAGTCTTCAACTCTATTTATAAAGGGGGAGATTGTAAGGGTATTTTGAGTTGTAAGGAGTCGAAGTCTTTTGTACTCTTCGTATGGTTTATAATGTATTTTACTAAGGCAGTTTTATTCGATGCTTTAAAGTGTTTAGTCCTTAGTATATTTTTTGCACGCTTTCCTCTCCTATAAATAGGAATGTTTACTAGAGTCATAGAGACGAGTCTTTTACAGAATTATCATTTTGTTCTCTGTAAAAATGGAAAGTGTAATAAAGCTGAAGTGAAAAAATCTTATTTACATTTGTGTTCTGATCTCGCAATCTTACTTTGATCATTAAACTCTGATTCATTTCATACTTGATTCATTGCTTCATCAAATATAAATTATCTAATAAAAACATAAGTGGAAATATTTCAAAACATCATATCAATCACTGTATCAAAGTTATTTATCAAAATATCAGAGAAAATCATCCCAGGCTAAAAGTTGTGGTGTGTGTCATGCCGTCATCCCGAGCTCTTCCCCTGATTAATTGAAGTACCTGAAACCAAAACTGAAAACTGTAATCATGAAGCTTGGTGATTCTCCCCAAACTACCATATACCATACACATAATCACATACTACAAACATTGGGCCTAGCCCGCTACATCAGGCCCCACATGGCATTAGGCCCCGCCTGGCATCGAGCCCTACTCGGTATACAAATCTGTTTCTACTAAACCACACTTGAATCTGGGCCCCGTCCACTATACACATGCAAACATATAATCATAATCAAGCTAGTACATAACAATCAAACACATCACTATAACTGCTACTCTCAAGGCCCCCTATCTTGGGCCCCATCCCTACTCTGCTACTAATGAGATATGGTACCCTGTCCATACTCAGCTAGTGGTGAGATACGAGCCCCCGCCCACACTCATCTCCCTACCAGGCACATATAGGTATCACAAAGACAACAAGTATAACTAAGCATGCATTCCTTCCTCAGGTACCACCCGACATCGAACCGTAGTTTAGTAACATACATATAAACCTTCCTCGGGCCATGACCATCATCGGACCGAAATTCGAAACATATAAACTACATCGGGATAACCCCGTCATCGGATCTAAATCTATTATACACTAACATACATAAACGGGCCAACATTGGTGCCTTCGACCCGTTCCTACTGGAGAAAAATCACCTCACAAGTTGAATACACAGTCCCGCGAATAGACCTCTAGCTGCTAGCTGGCAAATCCCCGTTGTCACACCCCCGGCCAAGGCGGAACACGCCGGGAGCGGGACTAAGTTCATGGATCATAGATAAACTGAATATATAGCACAAGTACAACGATAAACAAAATAACTTTTGTATTCCATCATTAAGTTTGAATACAGGGTTCTTACAGATAATAATAGTACATTAGTTGCATTAAACAGGTAAGCAGATATCAACAACAAGCTAGCTAGGTCGCCTGCAATCCACAGCTAATCTTCTGTCTGAATGCCTGGCTGATGATCCCCTAAGAATACATGTAATTTTGAAAGTCAACACAAAGGTTGGTGAGTGTCACAGGTTTTCTGCTAACGCAGTAATACTTTTAGTAAGTCTAAAAAGTATTATCTTTGTATGTATAACAACAGTTAAAACAGTGTTTGCAATGAGTCTTTAAAAGCCAAAATGTATAGTTTGTATAAGTAAACCCATACGTAAAACTGTGATTGTAATGAGTCTTTGAAAGCTGAAACCTTATGTTTCATAAGTAATTCCATACTTAAAACTGTGTTTGGAATAAATCTTTGATGCCAAAGCATTATGTTCCATTAGTAATTCCATACTTAAAATTGTGTTTGAAAGCAACCAAATCCATGGTTGTACAGGTAAAAAATAAAGTTTTCTACCAAGGTTGTACTTCACAACCGTAAATACGGATAAACAAACATACGGATATACGGATACAATTATCTGCCAAGGTTGAACTTAACAACCGCAGATATGGATAAACAACAAGTATATTTGATAAGCATACACGTAAAGTGTACGATACTTGTTTAAACAGTTGACAAAACTTAGTATAGTGTACACAAGCACATGTATGAGCCTAAGATACAAGTTCTATAACTTGTATAAATGTATAACCTATATATTTATGTCATAAACATATATACGAATATACGGATTAAGTTATCTGCCAAGGTTGAACTTAATAACCGCAGATACGGATAAACAGGTAATTCACAAGTATATTTGATAAGCGTACACATTGAAGAGTAAAATACTTGTATAAACAATTGATAAAACTTTGAGTATAAGCACATAATTGAGCCTAAGATACGGGCTATATAACTCGTAAAAATATATAAACCTATATATATATATATATATATATATATATATATATATATATATATATATATATTTATCTATGTATGAAGTATAATGAAACTACCAAGTTGATAACCGGCTATACAGCCATAGCATAATTTTAGTCAAAATGTATATGTTATTTTATTTAGTTGTATTATCTTAACAACATAACATATGTAGCTATTGAGGTTTAAAACGATTTTGTTTACTTAATATGTAAGCGTTTAAACAATTATTTCTAAAAGTGGTAAAGTATTTACACAAAACAGTGATATTTTTGTGTATTTCGTATGGTAAATATTACTTAATACACGTACTATCATGTACAGACGAGGGCCAGACATGAAACACCGAGGGCAGGACCATTTTGGCATTATAGCACTTCTGAAATCCAGCAACCCATGCGGCCCTTCAAACCAGATTCCCCGTACCGTAAATAGTAGCGTAATAAATACTATTTCCGTGTGATTGATATTGCATAAAAATGGTGGTGTTGTTTGTTTAAACAAAGTATTTATAAAATAGATATATACTAGATATACAAGTACTACATGTATTCCCCCCCCCCCCCCCCCCCGAAAATATGTAAAAATGGGGCCGTAACACTCACCTTAATGTGTGGTTGTCAAGTAAGTGATGTGAGAAAAGTTGAGACGTATTGCCGTGAACACGATACTCCAAGATAAATTTAGTTTCCTAAGGAAATATTAACATAAATTAATATGTGAAGGGTTGTTTGGTAACTTAACCAAAGTATAAGGTCCATATATAAATTAAATGGACTGAATTTGTTAAATTATTTCCAAATAAAGACTAAAAATGTTTTGTTGAATTTATAAAATTGAATCATGGATTTATTTTGCAAATAAATCACAAGGAGGGGTGTAATTTTAATAAATAAAATGAAGGTTTGGTGTCTTTAGATCTGTTTTGAAAGATATTTTCGAGTGGGGGTAAGTTTTGAACATTTGATTAAACTTTCATTGTTTAAAAACTAGATTTAATTAATTTTTGAGAATGAGGGGCTAATTCTAGGCAATTTCTAAGTTAAGGGACTGAAACTATTTAAATCTATTGGGAGTTTGAAAGGTTTAGATTAGTTTTCAAAACAAATTGAGATGAAAGGGCTAAAACCGTACAAATCCGAATTTGAGGGGCTGGTTATATTTATTTTGTAATGTAGTTTGCTTTCATTACTTTCATAACAGGAGGCAATGGCCTCCTGTTCGTCGCACGTCGCAGGTATAAACGAAGAACAAAAAAATATATAAGAATACTACATTGATGCTTATGATTAATAGTTTGGAATACAAAAAGAATGGTGCAAATGGAACTCACAGTGGATGAAGAGTGATGGCAGTGAACGACAATAGCAGTGATGGTAGCTGGGGAAATTCCGGCAGCTCCTTTGCTGCCCGTTTTCTGGTTCCTTCGGCAGTAGGTTGATGAAACGGAGAGAGGGGAGGTGGCAGCTGGTCGGAGAGGGTGTTTGCTAGCTAAAACAGTGGAGTAAGAGGAGTGGCTGATGGTAGATTTATGGTGTAGGGAATAGTGGTGTTATGGTGGTGTTGGAGAGAACCGAGAGAGATTTTAGAGGAAGGAATAGAGCTGAGGTTTTTGGTGTGATGAAGGAGGAACCCAAGTGTTCTTTTTATAGTGTTTGAAAACCCTCACAAGCCTAAGCCCATGCTTAAACCCCATATCCTGTACCATTTTGGGGAAGTTTACACACAAAGAATAAGAGAGGAGGAGGGGAAGCACGTGGGGTGAAGTGAAAAGGAGAAGAAATCAGATTTTCTTTGGCTTGTGGATCCCATCTTTGGATTACATTTCTCTTTTCATGCTCAAACACACTCAAAATCAGGTGCATCGTAATCCAGAAATCGAGATTTTTTTTTTGAAAGTACCATTAGATTGAGTTTAATTCAAGGATTCTGGAACATCAGACGGATTAATTTTTGGACTTATGGATCTCCGGGAAATGGCGTTTGAAGTTTTACGTATAAACAGCTCGCGGTGTCCGTTTCACGATTTTTGAGAATATTTTTATTAAAAATATTTTGAGTGTGAAATTAAATATTAGACTGTAGCCTGAGTCCAAAAACGCTCTCGAAAATCCTATCGGCAAAGCGTAAGGGTCTCAACGGATCGATTCAGTTTTACGCGATTAAAGAAAAACAATGTTTTACTATCTGTTTTCTTAAAACTGTCGTATCTTTTGCACACGAACTCCGTTTTGGGCATTCTTTATATTTTCGGAAATAGGGGAACATGTACTATAATATTTTAATGTTTTTTTTCTCAAAACTGCTTAATGCAAATTTTCAGTTTTTCAGACGCATTGATTAACGTTGTCATTTAAGCGGTTTGATTATGTTGACGATTTACACTCGGAAGCAATGTATCATATGACATCATATAATAAATGGAATAAAATTATTTGTTTTGCTTTAGGTGCATTAAAAATCAGTAATTCGGATAAACAAGAGATTCACGGATAGATTGACGGTTATAATAGTAGCCCTAAATTTCGGGTTGTTACATTACCTCCCCGTTAAAGGAAATTTCGTCCCGAAATTAAGTTGGTACTGGTAGTACTAGGGCTTCGATAAATAGTAATGTAATCTCGTGGAACATGATCCCTGCTTGGTCCTTCTATAATTGTTTGGTGTATAGAAGTCGTATATAATCAAGATCGAAGAGACTATCGAATAAGTGATTCTACCCTAATCCCACAACCAAACAAGGAACAGGAAGTAAAGTGGAATCACAAATCCTAAGTCTTTAGAATCTTAATTATATATTACCCCAACTTATACACTTAGCAATCATAGATTACCAACAAGGGTCCTTAGTTTCTATATGAATGATGTGATTAATTTGGGTGAGAAAGCAACTAGGGAGTACTTTTGCCATATCGATAAATAGTAATGTACTTACGTGGCGCATGATCCCTAGCTGGTCCTTCTACATTCCCTTGGTGTATATAAGTCGTATATAATCAAGATTGAATAGACAGTCGAATAAGTGATTCTACTCTAAGCCCACAACCAAACAAGGAACAGGAAGTAAAGCGGAATCACAAATCCTAAGTCTGTAGAATCTTAATTATATCTAACCCTAACGTATACACTTAGAAAGCGTAGATTACCGGCAAGGGTCCTTAGTTTCTATGTGAATGGCATGATTAACTTGGGTGATAAGGCAACTAGCAAGTACTTTTTGTTATAGCTACTGTGTAGGTTTCATTAAGTTTGCGAAATTTTATATTTTGTCGCGTGTTGAAACCTATGGTCGATAAAGCTTTAATTAGCACTAGTATCCTAGGCCTAAACATTGTTGTTACAAAACGTACCAATAACCATAGGTTATTTTGGAAGAGCCTCTCCTGCTGTGATCATGAGTACCCTTCCATTGCACTAGTAACAGTTACGGCTTCCTTGTGCCGTAGTGGTTGGGGTTCTTCTACAGTACCTCGAGATGTGACCTCTCATGTTACACTTGTTGCAGATCACCTCCCTGCAATTTCCGACATGGTGGAAATTGCACTTTATACAATGAGGTAAAGTCCCAGAGTAGGACTTAGTTGGGGTGGGAGTATTAGTAACTGCAGCGTAGACAGCTAACGGTTCTGGTTCGAGCTTCTGATGCTTGGAGTCATCCTTTATATCCCCATGAATTTTCCTTTTGGTGCCTCCAGTGTGTTTCTTCTCTACCGATGGGGTCATGGTACCCTGCCGGACACACTGTTCAGTCAACTGATAGGCTAATTGCTTAGCACTATCGAAAGTGGAGGGTTTAGATGCCGTCACCAGACCTTGAATAGGTGAAGCTAGTCCCCAGATGTACCTTTCGATCTTCCTGTCTTCCGGGGTCACCATTCCTGGGCAAAGGTTTGCAAGGTCATTGAATCGAGAGGTGTAGGCAGCTACTTCTGATCCTTTCATGACAAGGTTCCAAAGCTCTTGCTCTAGAGCCTGTATCTCTTGTCTGGGACAATACTCCTTGGTCATTAGCTGCTTCAGGGATTCCCAGCCCATGATATAAGCTTTAGTGATTCCCATGGACTTCGCATGGTGATTCCACCAAGTTAAGGCAGAGTCCATCAGCGTGCAGGTAGCGTACTTAACCCTACATTCATCGGGGCAAGCACTGATGTGGAAGACAGCCTCAGTCTTTTCTATCCAACGAGATAGCCCAACAGCTCCTTCAGTGCCGAAGAAGGTTCGAGGTTTGCAGCTCATGAAATCCTTATAGGAACAGTGTCTGGTGTTGCTTTGGTGAGTTGCAGGAGTGCCACTTCCACTATTTCCAATGTTTCCATTTCGGGCTGCCTCGTATGCTGCCAAAGCCGTAGCAATTCCTTGTGCGAGCATGTTTTGCATCATGGTAGAATTCATTTGGAATGTTTGGTTTACATTTGTTACTTCTGGGTTTCCTCCCTGGTTTGGCGTTTCCACTGATGTTTGAGTTACTGGTGGGGTTTTCCTTGGGTTGCCTCGGGGAGTTGGCGGTGGACGAACTCCAGGTTGCCTTCGTGGGGCCATCTCCTAATATATTTAAAACGAACATGTTAAGTTGTGTTAATACTATAAAATCCTAACACGTATGCAGGGGATGCATTTTATGATATAGTTTGCTTGTGAAATCCTACAAATTATAAGAAAAAAGGATTGATTTAGAAATCCTCTAGATTTCCAAATGATAAGGAAAAGGTGCTTGGTTTAGAAATCCTCTTGATTTCTAAAGGATAGAAAGGGGACCTTTAATTTCTAATGAATTGTAAGTGTTTTAAAACGTATGTATGGATTCTAAGGTACTAGGTTGCTGTAGCGAATCTGGAGAACATCCTTAATTCTCTAAAACATTCAACCGTTGTAGTCTGTCAAACTCCTCGCTCGGGGTTGGTTGTGCACCGGCCTGACCATAAATAACATAGGTGCACATTCCAGATTTATTTATGGTATGACTTATGTACGGTACTAACCCTAATTTAGGCGTCTGACCTAAAGGGTTGAGTTGGAAGTTTTAGTTGAAGGGATGTTAAAATTTTATTAAGTGTTCTCATCGTGGGCCAGAGTATATATAAACTCTTATATATTATGGTTGGTGGGGTTTGTAGTATTATTAAATTTTGTTTGTTCTTCCCAAATACCGAGCACAGACAATGGCCAGACATCAAACGGCGTAAGTAGTCGAGAAATAATGTTATTATTAATAATACTTTTATTAGAAGCTAGTCTGCTATAGTTGTATTCCTCTTTCGAGGATACGATTTCTCTATAGCCAATTTAGCTCTGATACCATTCTATCACACCCTCGGCCAAGGCGGAACACGCCGGGAGCGGGACTAAGTTCATGGATCATAGATAAACTGAATATATAGCACAAGTACAACGATAAAACAAAATAACTTTTGTATTCCATCATTAAGTTTGAATACAGGGTTCTTACAGATAATAATAGTACATTAGTTGCATTAAACAGGTAAGCAGATATCAACAACAAGCTAGCTAGGTCGTCTGCAATCCACAGCTAATCTTCTGTCTGAATGCCTGGCTGATGATCCCCTAAGAATACATGTAATTTTGAAAGTCAACACAAAGGTTGGTGAGTGTCACAGGTTTTCTGCTAACGCAGTAATACTTTTAGTAAGTCTAAAAAGTATTATCTTTGTATGTATAACAACAGTTAAAACAGTGTTTGCAATGAGTCTTTAAAAGCCAAAATGTATAGTTTGTATAAGTAAACCCATACGTAAAACTGTGATTGTAATGAGTCTTTGAAAGCCGGAACCTTATGTTTCATAAGTAATTCCATACTTAAAACTGTGTTTGGAATAAATCTTTGATGCCAAAACATTATGTTCCATTAGTAATTCCATACTTAAAATTGTGTTTGAAAGCAACCAAATCCATGGTTGTACAGGTAACGAATAAAGTTTTCTACCAAGGTTGTACTTCACAACCGTAAATATGGATAAACAAACATACGGATATACGGATACAATTATCTGCCAAGGTTGAACTTAACAACCGCAGATACGGATAAACAACAAGTATATTTGATAAGCATACACGTAAAGTGTACGATACTTGTTTAAACAGTTGACAAAACTTAGTATAGTGTACACAAGCACATGTATGAGCCTAAGATACAAGTTCTATAACTTGTATAAATGTATAACCCATATATTTATGTCATAAACATATATACGAATATACAGATTAAGTTATCTGCCAAGGTTGAACTTAATAACCGCAGATACGGATAAACAGGTAATTCACAAGTATATTTGATAAGCGTACACATTGAAGACTACAATACTTGTAAAAACAATTGATAAAACTTTGAGTATAAGCACATAATTGAGCCTAAGATACGAGCTATATAACTCGTAAAAATATATAAACCTATATATATATTATATATATATATATATATATATATATATATATATATATATATATATATATATATATATATATATATTTATCTATGTATGAAGTTGAAACTACCAAGTTGATAACCGGCTATACAGCCATGGCATAATTTTAGTCAAAACGTATATGTTATTTTTATTAGTTGTATTATCTTAACAACATAACATATGTAGCTATTGAGGTTTAAAACGATTTTGTTTACTTAATATGTAAGCGTTTAAACAATTATTTCTAAAAGTGGTAAAGTATTTACACAAAACAGTGATATTTTTGTGTATTTCGTATGGTAAATATTACTTAATACACGTACTATCATGTACAGACGAGGGCCAGACATGAAACACCGAGGGCATGACCATTTTGGTATTATAGCACTTCTGAAATCCAGCAACCCATGCGGCCCTTCAAACCAGATTCCCCGTACCGTAAATACTAGCGTAATAAATACTATTTCCGTGTGATTGATATTGCATAAAAACGGTGGTGTTGTTTGTTTAAACAAAGTATTTATAAAATAGATATATACTAGATATACAAGTACCACATGTATTCCCCCCCCCCCCCCCCCCCAAAAATATGTAAAAATGGGGCCGTAACACTCACCTTAATGTGTGGTTGTCGAGTAAGTGATGTGAGAAAAGTCGAGACGTATTGCCATGAACACAATACTCCAAGATAAATTTAGTTTCCTAAGGAAATATTAACATAAATTAATATGTGAAAGGTTGTTTGGTAACTTAACCAAAGTATAAGGTCCATATATAAATTAAATGGACTGAATTTGTTAAATTATTTCCAAATAAAGACTAAAAATGTTTTGTTGAATTTATAAAATTGAATCATGGATTTAGTTTGCAAATAAATCACAAGGAGGGGTGTAATTTTAATAAATAAAATGAAGGTTTGGTGTCTTTAGATCTGTTTTGAAAGATATTTTCGAGTGGGGGTAAGTTTTGAACATTTGATTAAACTTTCATTGTTTAAAAACTAGATTTAATTAATTTTTGAGAATGAGGGGCTAATTCTAGGCAATTTCTAAGTTAAGGGACTGAAACTATTTAAATCTATTGGGAGTTTGAAAGGTTTAGATTAGTTTTCAAAACAAATTGAGATGAAAGGGCTAAAACCGTACAAATCCGAATTTGAGGGGCTGGTTATATTTATTTTGTAATGCAGTTTGCTTTCATTACTTTCATAACAGGAGGCAATGGCCTCCTGTTCGTCGCACCTCGCAGGTATAAACGAAGAACAAAAAAATATATAAGAATACTACATTGATGCTTATGATTAATAGTTTGGAATACAAAAAGAATGGTGCAAATGGAACTCACAGTGGATGAAGAGTGATGGCAGTGAACGACAATAGCAGTGATGGTAGCTGGGGAAATTCCGGTAGCTCCTTTGCTGCCCGTTTTCTGGTTCCTTCGGCAGTGGGTTGATGAGACGGAGAGAGGGGAGGTGGCAGCTGGTCGGAGAGGGTGTTTGCTAGCTAAAATAGTGGAGTAAGAGGAGTGGCTGATGGTAGATTTATGGTGTAGGGAATAGTGGTGTTATGGTGGTGTTGGAGAGAACCGAGAGAGATTTTAGAGGAAGGAATAGAGCTGAGGTTTTTGGTGTGATGAAGGAGGAACCCAGTTGTTCTTTTTATAGTGTTTGAAAACCCTCACAAGCCTAAGCCCATGCTTAAACCCCATATCCTGTACCATTTTGGGGAAGTTTGCACACAAAGAACAAGAGAGGAGGGGGGAAGCACGTGGGGTGAAGTGAAAAGGAGAAGAAATCAGATTTTCTTTGGCTTGTGGGTCCCATCTTTGGATTACATTTCTCTTTTCATGCTCAAACACACTCAAAATCAGGTGCATCGGAATCCATAAATCGAGATTTTTTTTTGAAAGTACCATTAGATTGAGTTTAATTCAAGGATTCTGGAACATCAGACGGATTAATTTTTGGACTTATGGATCTCCGGGAAATTGCGTTTGAAGTTTTACGTATAAACGGCTCGCGGTGTCCGTTTCACGATTTTTGAGAATATTTTTATTAAAAATATTTTGAGTGTGAAATTAAATATTAGACTGTAGCCTGAGTCCAAAAACGCTCTCGAAAATCCTATCGGCAAAGCGTAAGGGCCTCAACGGATCGATTCAGTTTTACGCGATTAAAGAAAAACAATGTTTTACTATCTGTTTTCTTAAAACTGTCGTATCTTTTGCACACGAACTCCGTTTTGGGCGTTCTTTATATTTTCGGAAATAGGGGAACATGTACTATAATATTTTAATGTTTTTTTTTCTCAAAACTGCTTAATGCAAATTTTCAGTTTTTCAGACGCATTGATTAACGTTGTCATTTAAGCGGTTTGATTATGTTGACGATTTACACACTCGGAAGCAATGTATCATATGACATCATATAATAAATGGAATAAAATTATTTGTTTTGCTTTAGGTGCATTAAAAATCAGTAATTCGGATAAACAAGAGATTCACGGATAGATTGACGGTTATAATAGTAGCCCTAAATTTCGGGTTGTTACACCCGTAGTGATGATCCCTCGACTCCCCAAGCTATCATTACCATCATAAACTTAGTCAAGAACTAATAATCCTTCTTAGGGTAAATGACTATTTTACCCGGGTCAAAGTCAAAGTCAAAATCAACACCCCAAGTTGACTCAACTCGTTAAGTCATTCTCCTGACCCGCCGAGTTCCTTGTGGTAGAACGAGTCAACTCGTTGAGTCACTCCTCAGACTTGTCGAGTTCCACCATAAATAGATTCAGGGCTACTCACTTCGATTCGTTGGGTCCCTCCATCAACTCGTCGTGTTCCTTAGAACTCGGATCCATGCAAAAACCCTGGTCAGCACGCCGAGTTGGCAATCAACTCGTCGAGTACATGAAAAATCCATGATCAGGAGAAACCCTATCCACTCGTCGAGTTACTCTATCAACTCGCTTAGTTAATGCAGAACCCAGGAACAGGAAACCCTCTTCAACTCGTCGGTTCGGTGATCCAACTCGTCGAGTTCCTTCATACCACTTCTCATTCAGTCGATTCTAAGCCAAACTAATGCTTCCAAAGGTAGATCTAACCTCCTATAGCATGCTTTCCACGTAAAGTTGCAAACTTTTACATGCATGCAAGTCCCAATGCCAAAAACTAAGTTAAAAGAAGGGTTATGCTATGGAGAAGGGCTTCAAACGTTAAAAGCTTGAGACTTTATGACATTAGAGGCTTTAGAGAGTCCAGATTTAAAGTTGCAAACTTCGAATCGTGTTCCACTCAAGAACTTGTCTACAAAAGTGCTAGAATTAGCTTAAAGCTTAATATGGAGAGATCAATAAATAGAATGCACAATGTAACGACTTGTTACCTTCTAAATGCTGCCAAAATGAAGTATGTGATGGATCTACACTCCCATCCTCGTTCCTTGCTTCCAATCTTCCAAGATATGCACCACAATCAACCTGTAGCTTCATAATGCTCAAGAAATGGAGTTAGGTGGCTAGGGTTTTCCTTATGGACTTGAGAGGGTAGTGAGGGGTTGAGAGACAGGTTTTGAGTACTTTGAATAGGGTACAAGGCTCGAATTTAGGGTTTCCCCAACCCTGACTAACTCGTTGAGTTGGTCTCCCCTACTCATCGAGTAGGTCCTTACATCCGTGTCCTGATCTTGCTTCTACTCATCGGGTTACCCTCTTGGACTCGACGAGTATACCTTTTGACTTAGGGTTTTTCTTTCCTTAATTGGCCTTCTGGATTCCGAGTGTTACATAAAGCCGGTATAAAATGCATATCTGTCACATCTGGCGTCCGTTTTTTGATGGTTTTTATATTTTTGGAATCCTATTAACGAGACCTCAATTCTCATTTAGATTGTTTTGGCCAAAAATCAACCAATCTAAAACATGATTTCTGTGTGCACAATAATACGCTGAAATCTTAGAAAAATCATAAATTTCTCGATGAAGTTAGATTTGGACGTTCCCTGTATGCACAGATTCAATTTTTCCTAATTCTACGACTTTCATTTAGATCACTAGGGCTAATAAGTAACCTATCTCCAACTCACTATTTACGACATGTACTATAACTTGGTTAAGATTATTTATTCTAAACAATCTCTTATTTCAAAGTCATTGTTATGGCTTATAATAACTTTATTGTCTAACCCGAATTTACGTGTGTTACATACATACAATTAGAACGCATACGAGCCTAAATCGTCGTGTAAATACCAAGGTATTGAAAAAGAAGACCTTAAGCAACACTAGCTTCAAGTGCTCCAATACAGATCCAAAACACCCCAAAGAAATCACAATGGTGTGATTAATCAGTCTAACTTTTCGCTAAAATTTAAACCCATTCATAGTTTTGTTGGCGCATTTGCCAATTTCACTGAAATTTAAACCCTTTTACAATTGTCTTAAGCATGCAACATCAAAAAAGTACAATGTATTCTTAGCTCCTATTATTGGCTCCTAAATTGTGTCTGACTTATCATTATTACCAAGCCAAATAGCAATTTATATATGGCATTCTTCAATGTCTGATAAGAAAAACCCCTACATTATAATTGAAACTAAAAATCACCTGCATCACATAAAAAAAATATAGTTAAATAACTAAATGTAATGAACAACAAATCACAGTCATCCTATATTTGTAACAAAAATCCCAAACACAAATTAGTCATCAAACAACTACGAGACCAATTATATGGAAGACCTACTATGTTCATCAAGAGTCAAGACATCATCGGACCAATATGAAACCATTTTTCAAGACCCAAAAAGGATTAAATCCTTTAAATAAGTGGTTCAAACATGGCCGGTCTCTAGCTAGATCAATTTATACCATGGTTCTAAAAAGCGCGCCATGGTGCGCCTTAGGCTTGCCATGGCGCGAGGCGTGATGCAGCCGTTACGAAAACGTCCAATGCGGGTTTGTGAAGCGTGGCGTCAAAATAACGTGTCAAGGCGCGCCTTATCGCGTTATTGCGCGAGTTTTTTTAAAGGTGCGAGTTTTTTTGTTTTTTTTTTTAATTGGGCCTGAAATAAATGAGTTTTTGTTAACTTTTTTCTATTACATATTAATATAACACTTCTAAAAACTTCATATATTTGATAAAATTCAATAATTATATTATTTATATCTTTTAATGTATATAATATAGTCACGCCTTGAAAAACATCATAACTCGCCAAGGCTTGTCATGACTTGACTTTAACCTTGCCGCCAAGCCACACCTTATGTTATTTAGAATCTTGATTTATACCATTTAATTCAAAAGTTCAAAAGGACGTGATGGAGGCATAAAACAATCCATACAAGTGTTAGTTTATGTCGGAATAATATAAATCAAGCTAAATCAAAATAAAAAAATAAAAAATCAAAACAATATATTTGAACTTCCTGAAACGAACCAAGGAATATTGAAGGCACGGACATTAGTAAGCTTGAACTCCCCAGAACACAAGGTCTTTATCAATATAAATCCCTAACATCATAAGTGAAGTAGCTTTGGGTAGGTGATTCGATTTCGTCTTAAAAAAGACTAAGAAATCAAAAGTCGCATTAGGAAGGTGATTTAGTTTATTCAATTGTT